GCGCGAGTTCATCCATGCCAGGTTTCGGGTGTCCTCCGGCCGCCTGTGAGTTGTGAGCCTCAGCACCCTAATGCCAGCCTGCTCTCACTCAGAGTGTGCATTCCTGGCTGCCCTGCACTTTCATGGCTGCAGCCCTCTCAGACAGGCGTAGCTAAGCAGACCCTGCAGGTTCTGCGTCCAACTGCACCTGCCAACATGCCGAAATCCCCCAGTAAGAGGGAACGAGAGCAGAGCCGCCCGGGAAGACTGAACAGGACGTTTACTGATCGGGGCCCCGAAGACCTCCTTGAGGACAGTACGCCGCCGGCCCTTGTTGCCCAGGAGGAGAAGCCACCACTGAGTCAGCAGGAACGCAGATGGCAGAGAACTCCTCCGCCTTTCACGGTTTACTCTGAGGATTACCACTGCTTTGGGAAGCTGCCTCAGCCGTCACCTGTGCTTGATCGAATCCTCCAAGAACTACTGGAACAGCAGAAGACAGGCTCGGCAGTCACCAAGCGTACTCAGATCACCTTGACGTGCAGGGACACTTGACGACGACTGGCAAAGGCGGAGATAACTGCAAAGCGTCCTAAGGTCCAGGCTGACAGACCCCCACGGCCACGACCGCTGCCTCTACGTCCTAGCCCTCAGTCGAGGGATGTGGACAGGCCGGCGCGCACAGGACTTCATAGTGGACACACCCGGACAGCCCGATCAAGGTCCAGACTCCGCACTGGTGTCGCGCCCTCAGAATCCCGCCGACATCGCAGCAGCCCTGACCGGACGCAGCGGGAGGAGACGTCCCTCACGCGAACCAGGAAGCCGGTTCCCAAACGCTGTCCGCTGCCTCCCCCCGATAGGCGGGAGCAGCCTAGGAAAGGTGAGCCTCTTGCCTCCTGCAAGGGTCAGGCCCCTGGCAGCCAGCTAGGGCAGCAGGAGAGCGAGTACACATACTACAGCTCGGACGAGGATGGAACTGCTGGACAGGCGTCGCCCAAGGACTACCCGGCGGGATCCCTGATCTCCAAGCTACTCCCTACTTCCGCCACCGCGGCCACTTCATCCGAGTCCGGGTCGTATGAATACAGCCGGAACCTCAGGCTAGGGACCCTTTCCTTCCGGGCAAGCAGATGCACGCATGAATCGTCAGCTGCCGCAGACTGCCAAGCTGATGCCTCGACTCCACCTAGGCAGCACAGAGGACCCCAGGGACACCAAGGGTGGCCGTGGCAAGTCGTCCTGAAGAGCCCGCGCCCTGTTTGCTGCCTCATTGATAGCAGTCCCCCTTGCCTGGAAGCATCTTCCTGGGCTGCAGTGGATGTACAAACCTGGTACGCCCCTGCCTGTCGTGATAAAGCCCTCTCTGCTGGCAAAACAGCTGAGCGTGTCCACGGGGGCCTGCCCCTCAACAGAGGAAAGCCCTCGTCGGATGCTGCATTCAGACCTGCTGCAGGGTCGACGGATCCGCAAGAGGAGCTGCGGCAGCACCACTCATCCCAACGGCCGCGGCCTTGGCCTCGTCCTCACTCCTGTGACGGCAATGCTCACCTGACGCTGCCCACGCATGGTGCCTTTGCCTGGACAGCCTGTTGGCTCGAGGGGCCCCTAGACTCTCCTGCAGGCGTCAAATCACACCTTGCCAGCCCGGAGTTACCTACCCGAGCCTCTAAACGACTCACACCTTTCGTCTGAACATGGCCTTTGCCCGCAGCTGACCCCTATGGCCCCCTACCCTAAGTACCTCTGCTCTGGGGCCCTGGACATGGACATGGACGCAAAGCCCGAGTACCGCCGACACCGTCCGGTGAACCCCAGGTTCCTCACTGGACTGTCGGGCGCCCGTCGACATGAACCCATCTATGCTGAGGAACTTCGCTCACGAGGGCCCCCGCTGACCCGCTTTCATCCCGGACTGGCTGCATCTTTGCCCGATGAGCTGTTCGCAGGCCTTATCCCTGGCCCAGACTCCTGTGGCTCGACTCTAGCCAGCACGAATATAGCCACATGTGACCAGACCGTCTCGGTGATCGAAATAGAGGAAGACGACCCGGGTGAAGGACCTGTCACGCCAGAAGCTGCTGCCCCCATGGGTCCCACAGTGGAGCCAAGCCCAGCCAAGGCTCGCCGAGGCAGAGGGCCAGGAAAAGACGGAAGCGACTCCTGCCTCTCGAGGAGGTCGGTGGCTCGCGCTACAATCGGGCAACCCAAGGCAGCCCATTGACATTGACGTTGACGTTGACCAACTGCCAGACATCAGGGCGGGGAATGACGACACAGCTGAAGCGGCCGTACGACACAGCCTGCCAGCGAAGCCCTTGCATCTCCCTCCTGCGCAGCCTGGCTCGACATCCCGCACTCTGGACTGCCCTACACCCACTGCTATGCCCCAGGTGACTATGGTCTCTGCCAACAAGGGCAGGCGGCTCCGGCAAGTGCCCCGGCGACACTGGAAGGTCCACACCCTGGGCAAGGCTCTCTTACCCCGGTGGCGGCAGTCCTGGAGAACGGGTTTCCAACGTGCCTACCGAGCGGTCCATAGTGCCCGTGGAGGCCTCATCAGTGATGTGCCATCGCTTTTGTGGACGGCGCGGCGCTTTCATTGCTGCTACGACCGCTCATTCTGGCCCGACATCCACGCTGTTCTTCAAAGTCTCATCGGAACTCCAGGCCTCGAAACCCTCCGGTCTGCCTTAGTGCCCTTGGAGACCCGCTGCCGACGGGGCAGAAAGGTGAGAAAACGTCCCGAACGTTGCACATGCAGTTCCAGCCGCCATGCTGGTTGTGCGGTCACGCCCCCCACTACTGCTGGTACTGTGCACTACTCAGGCGGGACCCCAACCCCGTCCGCAGCCGCCCCCGATGCCTATCGCCGACCAGATTGCAGCTGGTATGGGCCTCAGCTTGCGCATCAATCAGCCTACATGCCGATGCTGGCTAGTGCAGCTTGGTGCTCCCTCCGCTCTGCCTTCTCAACCTGCTGTGCTAGGCTGGCCTACCGCCTGATGACCCGCGCTCACAGCACAGGGCCAGAGCAGAAGCTAGACGCCTGGCGGGGAGGCTCTCCCCCGAGGAGGCTGGACCCTTATCAGTTCCAGTTTGCGTACACCATTGGGCACAGGGATGGCCTCACGTCTACCAGGAAAGGCAGGATGCTACCTGCTTCGTCTGCCACTGTCTCCCACGCAGTCACCGTTCCCTGCATCCGGCATTGGACCACCACTTTTATGAGTGTCAGGGTCCCGCGTCCCTTGATACAGGACACACGCCTCCGCAGTCCTTGCTTTATGCCTGGCCGGCGGCCTCCCTCTGTGAGAATGCCTGGAAGGAGAAATGCCACAAGCCGGGNNATCACTGCCATGCAGTGCACGACTCGGCAACTGCCGAAGCAGGGTTGGGCCGGCGACCTGGACAGCATGGACTGAACCCGGAACAGTCCTTGGCACCGAAGCAGATGGAAAAGAGCGGCGAGGCAGCCCCCAGATCCCCCTTCAGGACGGGCTAGACCTAGGCCGAAGGACCAAATCCCGGCCGTGGGCCCGTCGACTGCCCTCTAGGTCTACCAGAAGCAGACGAGTGCCATGCAGAACGAAAAGACGAACAGCGCGCTGGATAGGCC